CTGGGACCACCAGGAAGAACACTCTTACATGTGAATCATCAGGTCTCCAAAGAAAGGGTACACTACAACTGGGCATCTATGACAGGGAAATCCCCTTCCCATAGTCTCATTGTACTGCTACTTCTGATAATAGGAAGCGCGAAACGAGAAGCTCCTACCCACATGAAAATCTGCTTGACACGAAAGCCTGCTTTAGTGTGTATCCAAACTTTCCTCGGAAAGAGAATGCGTGTGTGGCGGGGCGTGCAGACAAGCAGGTCCAGAGCTTGGCTGCAGGCATACTCCAGACCTGCCTGCACTCTCCGCCACACAGCCCTTTTGAAGCATGTGTGGCAGGGCATGCAGGCAGGTCTGGAGCCTCTTGAGTAAGACGTGCTCGACTGCAGGCACTGGCAGGCGCACTCGCTTTCCGGGCCTGCCTGCACGCCCTGCCACACACACATTCTTTTTCCAAAGAGAGTGCGTGTGTGGTGGGGCGTGCAGGCAGGCCAAGAAAGTGTGCACACCTGCCAGTGCCTACAGCTGAGCGCTTCTTACTCTAGAGTAGAAACAGCAGGTGCCAGGTAAGAAGAACTCAGGCTGGGAAGGGGAACCAGTGGGAAAAAAGCCCATAATGGTCAGATTTTCAGGCTACAAAACAAACAACTAAAACAACCCTTTCAGTTTCAGGAGGCCCACAAAATCTGGATCGGGGACCCCAACGAAAGCTGGGACACAAAACGGAGCAAGGTTTCCCGCAAAAGCACATGTCTACTGTGCAGAGCTGCTGAGGATAGGATGGTGTCTCACACATAAGTCAACTTAAAGCCAGTTAAACACAATAAATTGCCCCTCCCCAAGGAGAGTTGGCATGTGGCAGATCTTGTCAGGTCCACTGGATGGAACACCAAAATTGAGAAGGTCATATATCAGACAGTGGGCAAAGTCGCCTAGTCTGTCTAGAGGTGCATGTGTTCCAAATATGTGCCTACATTTTTGGGTACAAAGAATATTTAAATATTCCATAATCTTTGATAACAAAGGAATGTCAAAAAATGTCAAGTGCCATGATATTTTCCATTCTTTTGAACAAAAGTGAACAGACAAGAGCCTTCACTTTCATTCTTAGTTAGGCTCTGTGCAAAATTTATTTTAAATAAAACATAATGTTTTTAATGTGGAAAATTTCTAAATGAGAAAGAATAATTGGAAAACATGCCAAAGTTCTAATATGTTTGGAAAATGGGGAGAAAGCTAAGTAGGCAAAAGATCACATTCCAAGTATGTACGATCTGGTGATATTCTGTTAGTTCCAAATCCTTCAACAGGATGACCGTTTCTCTTATATTATTAGACTACAGTAAATGAAAGAGCTTTCATGTGCATCGTTCATGGGTGAATTCATAAAGAATGGATGTACTCCGTGAATGTGTGCAAAAGAAGAAAATGCACATTCTGGTCTATACTCACATTTGTGTACCATAGTTGTGGCACAGCTAGTTAGCAGCCAGCTGTGTTATATCACTACTGACCGAGAGGTCATGAGTTTGAAGCCAGCCCAGGTCAGAGTGAACTCCCTAACATTAATAGTCTAGCTTGCTGTCGACCTATGCAACCCGAAAGATAGTTGCACCTGTCAAGTAAGAAATTTAGGTTCTGCTTTATGCGGGGAGGCTAATTTAACTAATTTATGATGCCATAAAATCTTCCAGCAGTGTGCGTAAGAATGAAGAAGTACTCCATCAAGGACTCGGTGTCACAAATGGACGGTGAAGTGGCAGCTCCCCCTGTGGCCGGAATCAAGCATACCCTCATGAAGCCGGAAAAGCTGGAATATTAAATTGCCTCTGTGTCTGTCTATATATGTTCTATGTCTAAATGGCATTGAATATTTGCCATGTATATGTGCGTTGTAATTTGCCCCGAGTCCCCTGCAGGGTGAGAAGGGTGGAATATAAATGTTGTAAATCAAGGGTCGTCAAACTAAGGCTCGAGGGCCGGATACGGCCCTCCAAGGTCATTTACCCGGGCCTCGCTCAGGGTCAACCTAAGTCTGAAATGGCTTGAAAGCACACAACAACAACAACAACAATCCTATCTCATCAGCCAAAAGCAGGCCCACACTTCTCACTGAAATACTAATAAGTTTATATTTGTCAGAATTGTTCTTCATTTTAATTATTGTATTGTATTGCACTACAAATAAGATAAATGCAGTGTGCATAGGAATTTATTTCTGCTTTTTTCAAATTATAATCCGGCCCTCCAACAGTTTGAGGGACTGTGACCTGGCCCTCTGTTTAAAATGTTTGAGGACCCAGTTGTAAATAAATAAATAATATTTCTGATTCCTGAGAATCAGTGTATTTTCCCTTTTCATTTTGAAGAATACTTGTTTCAGTTTTGTTTCCTCAAAATGTGAAAATGATTTTGACATTGACATCGTAAAATGAAAATGTCAATAAAGAATATATTTTTTAAAAAATGTGAAGACGATTTTAAAATCATGTGAGCCATAAGTGATAAAATATCAAAAGCCTCCAAGGCAAGATTTCCAGCAGTTATGAGGATATGATTTTTCAGTAGTTAGGCATTTCAATGCTGGTTCCATGTTCCTTTCCTCTCTGCAGCCTGACTCCTAGATGGATTTACATGACTTTGCACAAGCCACTAATTTTAGTGTTTTGCTTGGAAGAATTTAAGTCATCTAGGTTTTGTTCCATTTCAGATACTGCACTCACAACTTAAAACCAGTCAATGTTAAGTTAGAATGACAAACGACACGTCTTTCTTTACTGGGACAATATTTTTCCCTGAGAAGGTTGCTGAAGGAGGTTTATGGCACAAATAAGTGCCTCAGTCCCCAGGAGAAGGGAGTCCAAAGGCAGTGGTTGCAGCTTCACATCTGACTGATGGCCTCCTTACACAACCATAAAGTAGGTTATCTCAGGGCTATTCTCCTCAGATAACCTCCCAGTGTATATGAACAATGGACTCACATCTTGCCATGAACTCTGCCCAGCTGCAACAATGCTGCTCTTTTGCATGTTTACTTAAATGGGATAGAGGGGACTCAAGAGCTTGAATCTTCTGACAAGTCATGGGGGAGATTTCTAGACTATGTGCACTGTTTCAAGTTAAAACTATTTTAAAACCCCTTGAAAGGAGAACTTGTGGAATCAAAGTTTTACTAGGACAAGAGGTGAAGATAGCAAGGCTTATGCCCATCTAACAGATACTATATTTATAATTCTTTCATAATAGCTGCTGTCAATAGCATATAAACCTTATTCTATTATATTACTACTGTAACACAGGATCAGAAATATGGGCATGAAAGAACTGCATTTAGTGGGTTGTTGTAGGTTTTTTCGAGCTATATGGCCATGATCTAGAGGCATTCTCTCCTGACGTTTCGCCTGCATCTATGGCAAGCATCCTTAGAGGTAGTGAGCTCTGAGGATGCTTGCCACAGATGAGGCGAAAAGTCAGGAGAGAATGCCTCTAGAACATGGCCATATAGCCCAAAAAAACCCTACAACAACCCAGTGATTCTGGCCATGAAAGCCTTCGACAATACAACTATATTTAGGTCTGCCTTTATTTGTTAGTTTCCCCATAAAGCAGTGTTTTCTGCAAAGTGTTATGACAGCCCTATCAGAACTAGGAAAGAATGTCTATAGTATAGCAGCCTTTGAACTACAAATCCCATAATTCCCAGTCAGTATGGCTAGCAGGAACCCCCTGTGGCACAATGGGTTAAACCCTTGTGCCGGCAGGACTGAAGACATGTTGGAGGTTCGAATCCGGGGAGAACGCGGATGAGCTCCCTCTGTCAGCTACGGAAATGAGAGAAGCCTCCCAGAAGGATGGTAAAACATCAAAACATCTGGGCGTCTCTTGGGAAGCGTCCTTGCAGACGGCCAATTATCTCACACCAGAAGCGACTTGCAGTTTCTCAAGTCGCTCCTGACACAGAAAAAAAAAACATGGCTAGTGCACAAGATTTGCTTTATGATTATCTCGTGTACCTTTGAAAACAACTTCCAGGGATAAAAGGTCTACACCAGGGGTCCCAAAACTAAGGCCCGAGGACCGGATACGGCCCCCCAAGGTCATTTACTCGGCCCTCGCTCAGGGTCAACCTAAGTCTGAAATGACTTGAAAGCACACAACAACAACAACCCTATCATATCAGCCAAAAGCAGTCCCACATTTCCCACTGAAATACTAATAAGTTTATATTTGTTAAAATTATTCTTCATTGTATTGTTTTAAAGTGTTTTTTGCTCTACAAATAAGATATGTGCAGTGTGCATAGGAATTCATTCATTTTTTTTCCAAATTATAATCTCGCCCTCCAACCGTTTGAGGGACTGTGACCTGGCTTTCTATTTTAAAAGTTTGAGGACCTTTGGTCTACACCATGCTCCTCCTCTAGCAAATTTACTACGGTGTCAGTGAAACCTTTCTTTAATTTCCTTTGAAACAAGGTGTCTGGAAAGCATCCACCTTGATCTGATAAAAATCTCTCTTTCAGGATATCAGGCCCACAAAATTGCTTCTCATGTACCTTATCCTGAATATTTTCTCCACTGGGGTAGAGTCATTGAATAGCAAGGACTTCCAAAACACGGAGCACACTTATATACAGTCATTTTTCTATGACCTCCTGAGAAATCAGATTTTTTAAAAATAACAGTACATACAGCAAAGGGTCATTATCTCTGGTTGGAACCCAATCAGTTCACATATTTTAGCTTATTGTAAGCCTTAGGAAGACCCACATATTCAGAAGTCACTCTTATTGTCCCAGTTTTTTTGGCTTTGCTGTGAGAGCTCACTGACTGAATGCAGAAGAGTAACCTGAACCACAAAGTTCATGAACCTCATTCTTTCTACTAATACTGTATGCATAAAACAAGGATGTGGCGCCCACAAGACATTTGAATGTTAATATGAACTGAAATATGAGCTTGAAAAAAGGGAATTCTGCAGTGCATTATTAGTGAAATACTCACCGGACTCTTGCAAGTATCTATATACGAGGAAGTTAACCTCATCACTGCTTATACTCATCTTTATGTCCACTTAAACCATGAGGTCACGACAAAGGATAATACCCTGCAAAAACAAAATAAAACCAAATGAATTAAAGCATGACTTATCAAGAATCTGTAAATCGAATATTGGTTTCCGCCACAGAGGAACATATAACAAAAATGAGAGCTCAGTAGAACAAACTTCACCACTGTAAGGTACACCATCAAAGGACATATTTACAGGGGTGATTTAATAGGGTCTCCCCATGCTATTATATGGAGAGATGTCTTAGAGAAGTGGTTCTCAAAGTGTGCTCCCCGGAGCCCTTAGGGCTACATGAAGCATATTGAGGGGATCTGTGGTTCCACCCCCCTCCAAGCTTTCCTTCTTCTTTCCTGCTCTTCTCTCTGCCCTCCCCTCCCTAACCACCAAAAGCCTTTTCCCCTCACCTCCCTTGCCCCCAAAACCTTTTCCCCTGCCTTCCTCACTGCCCAGATCCTTTCCTCCTCGACTTGTTTCCAAATCCCAATTTCCCTCCCTCTGCTCAGGGGGTGCTTTGATTGTGTTTTTCCTGCGTGGCAGAAGGGGGTTGTTGGACTGGATGGCCCCTGAGGTTGCTCCTATTACTACTACTACTACTACTACTACTACTATTACAACTACTACTACTAACTGTACCCACCATGCGTTGCTGTGGGCAACCTTCCCTCCCTACTTCCTTCTTTTCTTTCTTTCTTTCTTTCTTTCTCTCCTTCCTTCCTTCATTCCTTCCTTCTCTTCCTCTTCCCTTCCTTCTCCCCTTTTCTTTCCCTTCCTCTTTCTCACCTTTCTTCCTTTTCTACCTATTCTTGGACTGCAACCTTCCCTCCCTCTTTCTCTCTCTCTTTCTTTCTCTCTTTCTTTCTCTCCTTCCTTCCTTCCTCCCTTCCTTCCTTCTCTTCCTCTTCCCTTATTGTTGTTGTTGTTACTATTACAAAGGCTGAATAATCATCTGTTGGAGGTGCTTTGATTGTGCTTTCCCTTTATGGCAGGAGGGGGTTGGACTGGTTGGCCCCTGGGGTCTTTCACTGAAATACTGTTAAGTTTATGTTGATCAAAATGTTTCCCATACACACATACACATACACACAAACATTATATATAATATATAAACATTTCTTGGGACTCCACGAGAAACGTTTGCTTCAAAAGGGGTTCTGTGGCCGAAAAGGACTGAAAACCAATGTCTTAGAGTATGACTCCCGTTTTAGAACAGGAAGAGTTCTTCTGTTGCAAAAGGCGCTGTTTCCCTTATCTTCCTCTGCTTCAGCCTATTGCAATAGTCCCAGACAAATGACAGCTGCAAAAACTGAAGGCCCTAAGGGAGATATATGATGGGACACACTGAGCATTTTCTCTTCCCGCATACAGACCAGAACTGAAGATGCCATCTGCCAGCCTTGAAAATGTGCACATTTGAGGGAATTCTGCACCATTTGCTATTGCTAGGAATACATATGTGCAACTAAACTCATATAATTAAAATAGCTGAAAAATTACTTTCTCGTCCAGCAGCTGGTATTTTGTAAGTGTTCATTTGAGTTTTGACATCATAGCTTTCTTTTGACACAGACATCTAAAGAGAGCGTTTGCAGAAAGAGAGCGTTTGCAGAAATATTGCGGCAGAGAATGTAGAATTGATGAGGAGCTTCAAGTTGCCATGAAGTTCCAGTTCGGGATATTTTCATAGTCTTAAAACAGGCAAAATAATAGCCAAGAAAACACACACACAACTGATTCTTACATTCAGGCTATTTTAAATGAATTATTGTAGCTGCCTAAGATGGGATGGAAAATATTTTGCACAATGTCTCGTATCTCTTCCTATGAACCAGTTGGAGCGTTGAGATCTGGTGGAGAGGCCCTGCTCTTGGTCTTGCCCCCTTTGCAAGCACGACTGGTCAGGATGAGAGACAGGGCCTTCTCAGTGGTGGCCACTCTGCTATGGAACTCCCTTCCCAATGACATTAGATTGGACCCCTCCTGGTTTTTAGGAAAAGAGTTAAGACCTGGCTTTGGGATGAGGCTTTCAGGAAATAGTGTAATACAGAACTGACATGAATGCGGCAGCATGAGGGATGAGCACGGACTTAGGGATATAGTTTTAGCAGTTTTTAATAGTTTTATTGTATTTATATGTTTATTTGGAGATGTTGTAATGTGACATATCTTGTACACTATGTATTATTGGCAATGTAGTACTGAAGTGGACAAACTGTAGACTGCTCTGAGTCCCTTTTGGGGTGAGAAGAGTGGGATAAAATTATAGGAAATAAATAAATATTGTTTTCCCACAAATGTTTTTCAACAAAAACCCATTCAACAAAACAAAAAAAAAGTATTGTAGAAGGCTTTCATGGCTGGAATCACTGGGTTGTTGTAGGTTTTTTGGGGATATATGGCCATGTTGTAGAAGCATTCTCTCCAGACGTTTCTCCTGCATCTATGGCAGGCATCCTCAAAGGTTGTGAGATCAGTGAGGATGCTTGCCACAGATGCAGGCGAAATGTCAGGAAAGAATGTTTCTAGAACATGGCCATATAGCCTGAAAAATCTATAACAACCCAAGAAAATAATGTTTTTCAACAAAAAACTGAACGCGAAAAAACTTGACACTTTCAGCAGATAACAAACTTTGGTTTAGAACAGTGAGCAAACAGGAATAAAGTAGGACCTGGGTAAGAAGGAGCCCTCCAGATGTTGTCAGACTACAATTCCCATGGTTATTACCATGAGGGAACATGGGAACTGCAATCCAAGAACATGTGAGGGGGGGGGTACCCGCATGTTCCCCAAACACAAGTGACTTTTTAAAATAGCAAAATCACCTTATGTCCTTCATAGTATCAAGTATGTGAGTACATTTGGGGGGGGGGGGAATCTACGTCTGGCAAGTAACAGTAATAGTAGAGTCTTGCTTATCTAACCTTCACTCATCCAACGTTCTGTATTATCCAACACCATCTGCCTCCCAACTGGATTCACAGCTGTTTCAATATATTGTGGTGTTTTGGTGCTAAATTTGTAAATACAATAATTACAGTAATTACTACATAACGTTACCGTATATTGAACTGCTTTTTCAATACATGGTATTTATATTTATATTTTTAATGTACCAAACATACCAAGTTTGTATGAAAATGTGACTATTTCCGGTGCTGATCAATGACCAAAATAAATGATTTGATTTGATTTGAACTGCTTTTTCTGTCAATTTGTTGTAAAACATGATGTTTTGGTATTTAATTTGTAAAATCATAACGTAATTTGACATCGCCAATCATCTGGAGAGGCCCTGCTCGCGATCCCACCTGCATCGCAGGCGCAATTGGTGGGGACGAGAGAGAGGGCCTTTTCGGTGGTGGCCCCTCGACTCTGGAACTCACTTCCTAAGGACATCAGGCAGGCCCCAACTCTGGCAGTCTTTAGGAGGAGCTTGAAGACGTGGCTGTTCCAGTGTGCTTTCCCAGAATTATGATTCCATAGCTCTTTGTCCTCCAAAGAACTTTACATTTTTAGGTCTGCTTGCGTGTTTTCCACAAATGCCCCATCACTTTCTCGCCCATGTTGCAGCATTACTTTCAATTTTAATCTTACATTTGGCCTTCCCATAGTTTTAATCGTGTGGTCTTATTGTTAATGTTGTATTATTTTTATTGTCCATGTTTTTATTTTAATTGCTTGTATTGTTGTTGTTATTGCTTGTATTGTTGTATTTGGGCTCGGCCTCATGTAAGCCGCACCGAGTCCCTTGGGGAGATGGTAGCGGGGTACAAATAAATAATAATTATTATTATTATTTAATAGGCTTTTCCTTAATCCCTCCTTATTATCCAACATTTTCATTTATCCAATATTATGCCAGCCCATTTATGTTGGATAAGCGAGACTCTACTGTAGTAATAATGATGATGCTACCACCTCCACAATCCACCAGAACCAACACAATTTTGCAAGCGTTGTATCAAAGCACTCTTTCCCCAAATGACTGAGTTAACAAGAAAATAAATACATGTCATATATCTACTAAAAACTTTTAAAATCAGGGGTCCTCAAACTAAGGTCTGGGGGCCGGATGCGGCCCTCCAAGGTCATTTACCCGTCCCTCGCTCAGGGTCAACCTAAGTCTGAAACGACTTGAAAGCACACAACAACAACAACAATCCTATCTCATCAGCCAAAAGCAGGTCCACAATTCCCACTGAAATACTAACAAGTTTATATTTGTTAAACTAGTTCTTCATTTTAATTTTTTGTATTGTTTTTAAGTGTTTTTGCACTACAGATAAGATATGTGCAGTGTGCATAGGAATTAATTCATTTTTTTTTTCAAATTATAATCCGGCCCTCTATCAGTTTGAGGGACTGTGACTTGGCTCTCTGTTTAAAAAGTTTGAGGATGTTTAAAATCATCATCATCATCATCACCACCACCACCTTTTCTGAACTGCAGTGCTCAAATTCCTGCTGTCAGCAAGATCCTCATCAATACTAGGAAATCCTGAAGCTCTACTTCAAAGAAATGACTTGTCTAAGCTCTGATCTTGCCAGACATGAGGTTTCCTATCTACTGGACAAAAGGTGGCAGTGTAACATAAACATTGAAATTGCTTAGCAGTGAATGAATAATGAAAGGAAACCTGTGAAAGAAATAGGCAATACTGCCAGTGGGTACCATCAAAGAGCAACTTGCCTCCAAAGGCCTGATCTACACATACAGATCATTGCAACCGGCATCAGAAATAAATATGCCTCTTTTCATCACAAGGTTAATGTTTAATTTTGTACATAATGGCTACAGAAAATTTCAAAAGTCATGCAGATCCTTACAATGAGACATTTCTTCTAAATCTCCAGTCTTTTAGTAGGATTTTAAAACAGGCACGTTTTCACACTTGAGCAAAGGGCTGAAAATGTCAGTTCTTCCAAAAAATTTCAAAGTGGAGATATATTAATCAAGACTATTTGGTGTGCAGCCTGAGGTTCTCCTAAGAGACTGTGTCTCTTCCCTTTATGGATGGCACAGAAATCCATAAACA